GGACCTCCGCCATCGCGATCCCGCGTCTTCACGGTTGTCTCAAAAGTCAATGCGGGGTGAATGGGTGCGAAGGCGCTGGTGCGAGTGTCTCCCTCGGCTGCGACTGGGCCCCCCACTGGGCTGCGGGGTGCAAGAGGGGGCAGAGGCGCGGCTTTCTGACGTTGTTTCGATGGCGCCCAGCACCCACCCGTGCTCATCGCCTGCATTTTTGGTTTGATCCTGTGCCCACAGATGCGCCCACTGCAGGGCGCCGATGGTCCGTGCCGAGCGTCCGGAACAGCAAGTCAACGGTCAAAGTTGCCTTGCGCGTGTGGCTGTGCCGCGCAGCAGCTCTAGAGGCTTGCAATGGCGCTTAACAATCGCCATCGGCTTGGCCACCGCTACGCGGAGTGCAATTGCCGCACCATACACCCAACCGCCGAGGGCCAATGGGCCCAAGGGTGTCACAGCGACAGGGCGGGTGTTTGAAATTGTTGCGCACGAGGGCGGGCGGGCCACCCATCGTGGTGGTCAACTGCATTGCTGAAGGCGGTGGGATGCGGGGGACAGTCTCTGTGCAGGGCCTCGGTTGTTGTGCCACTGACTATGATTGCACACGCATGAGCTCGGGAATAGAAATGCAAATGCCATCATTCAAAAAAGGTGCCTCCCTTTTCCATAAAGGAAAAAGGAATTGTTGTTACAGGTTCTGTTAAAATAATGTGGGGACGACAAAAGTGCAGAACGTTGGGCCGAAGGCCCAACTTCTGGACTGGTATAATACAATATCCGAAACACCTAAAACTCCTAAAACTCCTAAAGACCCTTAAAAAGACATAAATATACCCAATAATGACCTTCATGCCCTCCTAGTCAATTGCCCTGCAGAACTCAAAAATTTCCGATACCCTCCATTTCCGGACGTGGAGGGCATTTCCTTTCATTTGGCAAAACAGTCTTCTAGACTTTAGTGCACTTTAAAAATCAACTCATTGCTCTTGCAACCTACTGTGATGCAAATGGGACATGGCATGGGCGTGATGGGCGAATGAGACATTCCGCAGCTCAATGCGGCCCCATCAAACAAACGTTGCAAGACCTATTGCGCACACAGCAAAAGGAAGCGGAAAGTATCGCAGGAAAATTCGTGCAAACACTGCCATTTCGTTGCTGAATATTGGCAGTAGTCACCTGCTCACCTGCTGCAGTGGTCTTCCACGTTAGGGTTGAGGGCCCACAAACTAGTAGGCCAACTGATATGCAGTCGGCTTTCACCCATAGGGTGTTGTCATCTGGACAATCGGGCCCAATCGAGGCACCACCCAGCACTCGTGTCGTTACTGTAATGCTGCTTCCAGCGCCCACGTCGCCAACTCACTGCAAAGGGAGCGAATTGCTGGTGATGTTGACTGCCATTCTTAGCTACCGCCCTAATGACATGTTGACTCATGTTCTTCTGGAGTTTCCATTCAGAATTTTGTGTTGTTTATCATATTGGACAATCCAATAAATACACATTTGCGCATTTTTGAAGTCAAAATTTCCACTGCCTTGAATCAGTGCGAAGGAACGACGCCACAGCAGCGTGTACTGTCACTTTCACATTGGGCTGCACACCTCCTCGGATGGTTCCACAGCTGCCTGCTGACTGCAATCATTCTCTGATCCTCCATCCACAACCATTTTTCATCATTTTCATCAGACAAACATTTTTCACATTTCTTTTGACAAAAAAATCATGAATTAAATGGGTATGAAGAATGGCCAAACTTCGTTCAGCATTCACAGCGCGGCCGCCATCCACCATCATCTATTGGCATCAACATCCCACTACCCCCTTGATTTCTTGCAGCTTTTCACTGAGTGCAACTACCGATGACATTCTCCCATTGCTGAAGGGCACGCCCACCGCCTCGCAAAGCCTGCGGCACAAACACATATATTCATTCGACAGCAAATTTCCATCGCTTTGCACATCACCTTCCTCGCTCACAAGAATGGGTATCTGTACACTGTTGTACATTCAACCCTTCAGCACTTTGAAATTTTGCTCCACATTTTCCACAGCCCGTTATTTTGGGGGGGCTCCACAACATGGCCACACCAAGAATGGCGACTTCGCTCAGTTCACAATTCTTCGCCACCACAGCGCCTCCTGAATCCAGAGCTGCTAGACGCCACGAACACCCCAGAGAACCCCGCATCGCGACTGGCACTGTTCCACATTTCTTGGCACTGCTATGTTTCATCATTGCTCCGCACAAAAGGCCAAGCGTTGCATTGCGATGCAGCCGGGTACAATACAAGGGGGTACGGGTTTGGATGCCACAGACCTGTCTTCTGCATATCACTTGTCGTGTGCATGGCAGGGCAATGGGGAGGCTCAGCAGAGTGAAGAGCACACAGCGCTCAGAATGTTGAAACTAAAGGAAGCCAGCGGGTGCCCGCCACCACACTGCAGCATACACTGGGAGCAGCAGTTGAGTTGCGCATTCCTAGAGGTAGGTTTCAGTTTGGCTCATTCCCATTTGCTACGTCTGTTCTGTATTGTGCATTATACAACACTTGTCACTGGAAAGTTAATCTCACCAGTTCGAGAAAGCACATTTTGGGTGCAAGCATTGCCCCAGCCACTGCTGTGATACAATTCCTTTTAGCGAAAATCAACTGCTGCTATCCATAGAGAATGGTGCATATTTTTGCAGTGAAATGCACAGTTAAGGGAACTCACATTTTGACCTGTCTGCTGAGTTCCCCCAACTCTGTGCCGTCGGCGATGTCGTTCCCCCTTTCAATGCCAAGCACAGCTTCTCGAACCAAGTTCACATCCTGTAACAATGCAGCGATGGCAGGGTCCCCGCCATCACGCAAACCAGCCACAGTGTTGGAAGTTGGGGTGTCTCCAAAGCGAGCTTCCCTTGGACTACAAATACGCCTTGCATCGGCTGCCAGCGGCTCTTTGGACAAGCCTGTCAAGATAATACCCCAGAAATCACTGTGAGGGTATGCCAGCCCAGCGCTCAATTCATCACAAAGATAATGGGATCAGAAAACTACTGCTGCCAGGGAGGCATGTGGATTTCCATTGGTGATTGCAGAACTTCAACAAAACGGCAATGGCCCAAAGCGAATCATCCACCATGCATGGGCTGCAACTGAACTGCAGGTATGTGCAGTACCAGGTAATCGCTGCCATGATCAGCTGGGACACAGTCCAAGGATGCGCATCTCAATGTTGATTGCACACCACAGCCATTCATTGCCCTTGTGACCGTCAGCAAAACTGCTTCTTCTTTCTCCTTTTCACGCATTCTCTTGTTTCTGTCAAGCAGCCAAGAGCAGTACATTTGAGCAAACACAAAACCTTGAACAATGTCCACATTTTATGCTTTGTGGCGGGCCTCACAACAACACGAACAGTGCTGGCCCTCTGAAACATAGCAAGGACTGATCCAGCACTGGCCACGACACATAGCGGAGTTCTGCCACCCAGAGCTGGGCATGGGACATGGATGCTAATAGTTTACTAAAGCTCCTCCTGTCTGCTGCTCTCCACCACCATCTCCCTTTCTTGAGTTGTAATTGTCCTCTTCTTGTCTGCCTTTGCATGTCCTATGCTATTCCAGAGGGCATGGGAGTGTGAATTTATCATTGACAGAAAAGCGCCAAATGCAGTGGAACCACAACCAGGCAATACCATGCAAAGTCCAAAGTGACAGCAAACAGCATTTACTCACCAGCCTTGCATTTAGCAAGGGCTGCAAGCAGTTCCTGTGACTCAGGTGGCATTTTCCCATTGGGAGGTATCCTGAAGGCCCGAATCTTCCCCTCAGGCCCCTGTCTCAGTTTCTGCAGCCCCTCGCAGTGTAGGACCTCAGCGGTTCTGAAGAACAGCAGACCGAGGCCGACGCTGAGGATGCAACTGAAAACTGATGTGCCCAACAGATGCCGGAGCAAACAGAGCCACAAGGGCAGGAGCAAGGGCAGCAAATGCATCTGCGCAAACAGAAGAAATATCACAGTGCCGCCATTGAATGCCCTTCCAGGCATATGTGGCAGTTGTCCTCTGCATAAAGTGGTACAGGTACTGCCACATCTGCCAAGTTCTGGTGACAAGGAGACTGGGGATTTTTCTTGGCGAACACGGTGTGATGCCTGCAGACTGGCAACAAACAGACACTCGCAGATCATCTGAGTTCAATAGGCATGTGCTGTGATCAGCTGCCTGGCTTTCATGTCGCCTGCAGACACATCAATGCCCATCAGGCAGCACACTGTCCTTGGGACACCAGAGCTGCTACCCTGTTGGCAAGTATCTGAGCCATTACTGCAGTCACTTGAAGCACATACCATAGTGTTTTAAACCCTTCCGCATAGTAACATAATGCTGGGCCCTTTTTCGCGGAGTCGATGAATAAGAAAATAATGGTGCCAGAGGGAAATGCGGAGCAGCCGAATTTAGTAACGCTCGGGGCGCGGCTTTAGGACGGGCTTGGCCTTGGCACCTGGCAAGCCACTGGGCGACCGATCGGCAGGCAGGCAGGCGCCCGCCGCTTGCCATCTGGGCAGCGGGGAGAGTGGGCGCTAACGCGGAAGGTGCCAACAAGTAATGGCACAGGCAGGGAGTGGGGGCGATCAGCAGGCACGCGCGCATTGACAAACAGCCGCCCCGGGGGGCCGGGCGCGGCGCCTGGGGGAGCCGCCTTGGGAGCCGCCCAGGGCCAGGAGCACAGGGAGCGGGGTGAGCTGGGTGGGAGGGGGGGTATTCAGCGGGCAAGGTTCGCGGCAAGGGACCCGGTTTCGCGGACTAGCTTCGCGGGGGCCACGGTTGATCCCCAGAGCCAGGCGGTTGGTGTCGCATGGTGCATGCACATACGAGGCTTGGGACTGGTCCGTTGCACCTGAAACTTGGGATACAGCCTTTAGAGCCCCCTCGGAGCCCACGCGACACGATGCGAAGCAAAAAAAATAACGTAACGGTCCGGGACGAAAATGCGGAGCAAAAATGGAATGGTCGGGATGGACCGATGCGGAAGGGTCGGATATCCTACGGTACTCTGTGGGAATGGCTCAGCTCTTTACATCTTAGTTCAGTTCTCAATCTGAGTTTGAACCAACAAACAAGAACACGTCTGCGAAACAATGTCAGTGCAAAATGCCATCAAAACAAGGGAAGCAGTTGCCGCTTTGACCACTACTCCAGGCTGTGGATTTTGAGAGCCAGGAGCCAATGCCATGGCTGACAATGTCCTCCATGCAGCCTTGGATCGTTAGGGCCTGTTGTGGACAAAAGTTTTAGGCGCAAGTATGCCCGCTCACTACGCTGTTCTGTTTGGACCCGCTGATGAGCTACATGTGCACATATGACCCAACAACATGTGGCACCACAAAAAAAGGAGGATCAATTCAATCTTCCAAGCAGCATGAGCATCTGGAGCCAGTAGCAGCAGTGGAGCTGGCAAATGCAGCAACATCGACAACACCAAGGTTGAGCACAAAGTAGACTGGCACACCAAGCTTACAATGCATGTCGACCCAAGTGCAGCATATGCTTGAGAGCGTTTGACCATACGGTGCAACTCAAGGAATTCTGGTGGCTGAGGGCACCCCCAGCGCACAAGCAGGTTCTTCGACGAGCCCGGTGCTTCTGTCCACAGGCACAGGAGATTCAATTCGTGAGGAACTCAGCCAGCAAAAGATAACAAACCATATGTATATGAAGATTCAATTCAGCACACCCAATGTGCATGCTGAAAGCCAAGAAATTGCGGCCATGGAACTGTATCCAAAGGAGATATAGAGCAATGCAGACCAGATCCTGTTCTCATCATGTGCTGCTCACAGCACACAGTCCAGCACCCAAGTACCCAGTTGGCAGAACAGCTATTGAGTAAGGATGATCGTTGTCTGGAGCAAAGGATGCAAGCACAATGGCAGAAATCCATACACAGGTGTGCCTGCGATGAGAGCCAGGCACATTCTTCATGGCACTGCTGCGAATAGTGACATCGTCCTCAAACGCCATACTTAGCAGACATTGCATCGGGCACAATATACAACTACAAAATTCGTTTGATGTCCGCAAATGCAGCCAACACAGAATTACATATTCACTGCAGGCTTGCGAGTAGCTTGGCGAATCCACTGCCAAAACAACAGCAAAGTATGCCACTTGGCAAGGCAGCTCAAATAACATGTCCATAGCTGTCTGACTTGATCTCTTGCTCACAAGAATCTATTATCATTTGTTGCACCCTGTGGAAGGATTGTCAGGAAAGTCAAAACCCTTTCGAATTCATCCTCAACTGCACCACCACACCACTCTGCATGCAGCACAATAACTCACTTGCAGCTCCAACCCCAGGACCTGCCCTCGCTGCTTCGACCATCTGTTAATCAAAGCAAGAATTCAACAGGTGAAAAGCTCAAAAAGACATACCTGCTGCAGAGCTTCTTCAGGGCATACAGCAGCACTCCAACTTGAAAAACAACGTGAAACGAGCAAACACAGAAAAGTACACAAATGGAAGGTAGAAATCTTCATCAACAGAACTGTCAAATTATGATGCACTTGTGCCCATTGCACGTGATGTAGGCAGTGCTGGGTGCATCTGCAGATTGTTGCCCAATGCGTGTGCAATATCTTCGGACACTGGAAGAAACAAACGTTTGAGATGCAGATGCCAACATTCCGGCACTAGGGACTTGGTGATGGCCAGTCTTTTGTGATGGGAGAATTCTGCGTGCTGCACTTGTGGAGGCTACTGCAGATTGAACTTTGGGCCATCAGCAATAACCAAGACTGTGAACTGCCCCAGTCCTGGGGTCCCTCCGTGATGATGCCAGGTTGGCAGTGGCCAGGAGTCGCACTGTACTTGGAGGCTGCAACTGGGCACACGATCCGATACGCAGGGCCACCCTCTTCTCGGCAAGAGATTCATGACTTCCTCTGCGCTGCGGAAGCCGCTGCGCAGAACGATTCACAGGTCGCACAACGGCACGCCGCAGCAAGCGCTACACAGCAGCTGTCACGATCAACCGCAGGCGGGCGTCCACTCACTTTGTAGTACTCGATCAAGAGCTTCTCCACTCCCGGGTGGCGCAAGTACCCCGCGGAGCTGTCCGGGCCCTCCACCGCACCTGCACGGACCATCGGGCTCGCGCTCAATGCCCGCCATTCCCACAACCAGCCCCAGACGCCGCTGACACAGGCCCGCAGCCACGCGGCACCACGGCCGCCAGCGCGGGACTGCTCCTTCCCATCTTTCTCTTGCCTATATATATAAATTCCGCAAATCCGCAATCGCCCCCCGTGTCCCGGATCCTGCGCCCTCGACGCCTCCCATTGTCCCCAGCAATGGGGCCAAGCGCAGCGCCAAGCGCGCGAGCACAGAACGCAGAGATCACTCCCATCCTCCCTCGACCCCCCGAGTTCTCCCCTCCGGCGCTCATCGCACCCCGCGCCAACGCACCCGCGCGTCCGCCGGCGCCCCCCCCGCGCGATCACCGTCCACAGGCCACGGCCTCAGAGGAAAGCCGCAGGGTCACACAATGCCAAACCCTTTTCCGTATCCCTCCCCGAAATCGCCCGAGACGCCTCCGCGTCCCGCAGCACCCGGCAGCCTTCCCGGCACAGCGCCGAAATCGCACCGCTGATCCATCATTCACCAGCAGGGCCCACATCTCTACTGCTTTCAACCCCCAACCCCTTCCCGCTTGCGTCGTTCGCTCATTGTTTCGCACCGGAGGCTCACTGTCACCTTCCCACGGTATGAAGCAGCGTCTCGCACGCATTCGCTCAGGGGGCCGGGGGGTGCTTTGCACGACGCGTCTCTTTCTCGCCTTGCAACAAAATCCCCCCCCCCCCCTCTCACCCCTGCTCATTGCTTCTCACCCGGTTGGTTCCAGGCGGCACGTCTGCGCCGTGCGCCAGACGTCCCGGCCTGATCGAACCTCTCCCGAACGTCCCCCGCCGACGCGGTTGCCCTGAGGCCGTTGGCGGGCACCCAGCCCCTCCCGCCGCCCGCCGGCGTCGATGTCCTGCTCAGCCCCGCGCCCGGCCCCCGGGATGCCAGCAGCCCCGAGATCGTGGCCAGGCGGCTGCACAGCTCGGGGTCGCGCGCCCCGGCGTCGAACCGCGTCAGCCCGGCGCTCAGGTGGGAGGGATCCTCCACCCAGGCGGCCAGCAGGGCGAGGGCCTCCGGGGACGTGCCTCTTGGCTGCGACCCGGGCTCTCGCGGCGGGGGACGCCGGTGCTGCTGACGATGATGCGGGCGATCGGCGCTGGATGTGGGCGGCCGCGGCGGGCCCTGCGTCATGCAGCGGGCGGCGCGCCGCGGGGTGCCCTCGGGTGGGCGGCCCGTGGTCGAGTGTGGACGTGGGGAGGGCCCTGGTGCCCAACATGACCTGGGGGCGCCGGGTGGGAAGGGGCGGGATGGGGTGGGTGGGCGGCATTATCGGCCATTTAGAGCATATTCCTCCAATGCCAGAATCGTTCCTCCGGGCTTTGTGTTGGATTTCGGTGACCGAGTCCTTGACGCTGCCTTGCTCCTGTGAAACAGGGGGCGAACGGCCGCCGCCTTGCCTCCTTGTTTTGTCAAGTTCATGATGATGCTGGACGGTTGGATGATTGTGGCGGTGGCAGAACTCCAACTGACCCGTCCTCCGTCTTTTCGCCGAAGCCCCAGCCTGGTGGTTTTGGGGTTGGAGTTTGGGCAGCTTCACGTTCACCCAACCATTCAGCACATCGTGGCGATGATTCTGGGGCCAGCGACAATCCGGCGAGAGACATTCTGGCATACACATCGCGGCCGCATCGGACGCACAACAAAAACGCGGCCACGAACAATTGTTGTGATGGACACAAGCGCACTTCTTTTTCCTGCTGGGCAAGCCACATTTTCCCATCAAGCGCCACACTACCCCGGCGGGGTCAGCAACAATTTGGCAAACGACATTTTTGGCCAGCGCATCGTAGCCGTATCGTAAGCAGCAAAAGTGCGGTTCCGAGCTCGCCGTGGACCCGACCCGAAGCCGTACAATCGGCTGTAGGCATAAAATTACTGGCTGCACCAAATCGGTGACTTCTTGCACCAAGTCACGTGCACATCATGTCCAACTCCGTCCAAACTAACCTAACCTAAAACCTAAACCCTAAGACCTAAACCTAAACCTGTCCTAACCCTAACCCTAACCCTAACCCTAAAACTCACCCTGAAACTAAACCTAGCCCTAAAATTGAGGTTGGGACAAAGTGTCACGTGACTTGGTGCAAGCAGTCACCGATTTGGTGCAGGCAGTAATATTTTTTCATCGGCTGTATGTGAGCCACATCGTGCTCCTTTGCTATCAGGACCAAACCCACCAATCGCCCGGTGTGGCACTGCCCCCGGGGGCCGACCAATTCGCTTCCCCCACACGACGCACGGCTGGCGGGATCGCCGGCCCTGGCCCCCATGGCCGCGGCCACGGACGCCCCCGAGCTGGCCGTCAGCGAGCGCGCGTGCGGCGCATCCGCGGGCGACGCCGTGACGCACGGGAAGCCGGCCTCATCCTCGGGGTGGTTCACGAAGAAGCCCCTCACAAAAGTGCTGGGGCTCAAGGGCGGCGAGGCGCAGGGGGTGGTCACCGAGGGCAAGAAGGCGGAGCTGCTGCGGGGCGTGGGCGAACTCGACGAGGCGGGCAAGAAATGTGAGCGCCGAACGGGGCTCGACGCCGCAGCGACCCGTCGGATCCGCCCTGGTTCTTCGCCTGGCTTTTGCGCCGAAGATGAGCGCTCCGAGGGTGGGGGGCCTCCAGGGAGGCACCAGGGGTCTATGTGAGCCGGTGTGGTGCCGCGTGGGGCATAATGTGCCGGGCCGCTTTTAAGGAAAGCCCCGCTTCCTGCCGCACTCTTTTGTACCTCTGCCGAGATTCGGCGTCCGGTGGCGTCCGGTGGCGTCCGGTGGCGTCCGGCCGCGTCCAGCCGCCCCCGCTGAGAGATTGCGCCTGCAGGGTGGACGAACCGCTGACAGCTGATGTCTACCTCGGCGTGTTTGTCCGCAGTCTGCTCCGACAAGACGCTGGAGCGGTACCTGCGCGCTCGCAAGGGCGACGTCAGGTGGGTCGGACACGCGAGGTTAAAATGGCATCGGCCAATCGTCGCGCGATCGCGTGGAGGGTCCAAAAGGCGCAGCCGCACCGGCAGCGGGGGAGGGCGCTTCGCACAGTGGCTTGTCGTCGTGGCCTTGTCGTTGTGGGGTCGGGGCAAAGGGGGGGGACCTCGGCGATCGTCAGTGGCGTGGGGCTTGGGTGGGCGGGGTAGGTGGACTTTACGAGCAGTCGGTGTCATGCCGTGTAATGTCGAGCGCCCGCGACTTGACAGGGCGGGGCGTGGAGGGCGCATGACGACGCCACGTGTGCGCTGTGTGGGACGCCAATGTGGCGTCCGTCCTGGCCACTGGCGGCACTTCTCATGTGCCTTTTGTTGGCGAGGGCTTCGAAGTTCGCCCCTGCGATAGGCTGGCAGGAAAGTCAGGCGGGCGGGCAGTGCATCGGCGGTGGATGAAAAGGGTCGGAATCCTAGTAGTGCTGAGTGTTTAGTACCCTTTGTTTTTGTGGTTGTTGGGAGGTGGGGGAGGTCCTCTTAACCAGTTTCGTGCTGTTCGGCAGTCAGAGCACCCTCAGACCCAAAACCGGGCTGCTAAAGAGCTTTTAGCTTTAGCAGAGCTTGTAGTGTTGCTCTTAGGCTGAAAGCTTGGGCCAATCGGGAGTCGCTGATTCACTTGACGTACTTCCTCTGTCCCACGTCAGTTGTCATCGTGACCTTTGCCGCCTTATTTGTTCATCTTCAATGAAACTTTTTCTAAGGCACTCTCCATAAGGTTGGAGTGCACAGTCAACAAATCAAGTCAAGTCATTAGCTATTGCGGACTTGGCAGCATGAGAAGGGCAAAGATTTCCAATATCGTCAACGCTGTGACAACGGCTCTTCAAGATGAAGTCTCAAACACGTTCGAGAATGTTTGGCAAGCGCTATCCCACGCGCTGGACGCCGCCATTCATAACATTGGTGGTGGCGACTTTCCTTGCCGCTAGTAGACACAAGAGCGGCTGAAACCCAAGGGACTACCTAGGGACGTCGATTTCGAATGCTTGATATTTGGACTGAGCGGGGTCATTTTGGGGGCCCCACAAAGGTTAGAGTTGACTTGTTTGGACAGCTAGCAGTCAAGGCTTTTGAGGCACGATCCCTCCGATTCTGCATTATTTTACTATTGGAACCCCGTTTTGTAACGAGATAAGTCTTTCACATGGAGGACAATCGATATGGGGGAGTGGAAGTACTAAACTGGTCATGCACGTTTCAGCTATTCAACTTGACACAGCAGTGTTGGTCCACCCCTGGGTTTCGCCAACGCATCGGCTGACATATGAACTTGAAGATGGTCATACTCTAAAAACGCCCCTTTGTGTTGTGCAATCCTCTGGGTGCTGCAGAACTTTTGCAGAAGCCTCTGATTTCAAGACTGAAACAGAATGCAACAGATTAACCACTGCACAGTAAAAGGACAAGCATGGACCTGGATAAAAATTTCGAATTCTTGCAGCAGATTCATGAAACCGCACAATGAAACCATTGCACAAACAGGTTTGCTGCAGGCCTGCATCCGATGTTTGTTGAATCAAAGCACTGCGGAAATCCACACCTCCTGATGGAAGGAGCATGCTTTCAACAGAAATTGTGTTCTCATCAAGAACTGCGTGTGCCAGCATTGCTTCCACGTTGTGAGCATCTCTAAAGCTCTGTGTCGAAAATGTCAAAGCTTCGTGCCCACAAGGAAGATGCAGAAAGTGTTAGCATGTGTTCCTGATTCGCCAGCTTACCGTAGAGATGTCTTTGAAGTAATGGGTAGAGTATTGCAATAGAATTGTCTTCCAGACATTCTGGCAAAATTGTTGATTTTGAGAGAACTTGATGCCCAGATCGTTCTTTGTTAGGATGCGTGGCTGCAGTGTTGGGGTTGAAATGTGAGCAACATGGTTCACAGGAAGTCAACAAAGCTTCTCCATGACACACTGGTATGGAGGAGGGAGATCAAAATAGGTGTGGCTTTTTGTGCCCACAGTGGCATGTGCTGCAGGCCAGCCATTGTGTCAGACAGCAGTTGTTTCAGACAGTGCCCTCGCATTTCGAACTGTCAGGCAACAGTTTGGCATGGTGCCTGTTTGTCCAGCTCTGCCCTTAATGGACATGCCCCTGCATGGACTGTCCCATCAAAGCTGCTGTTCGTTGGCACTCAGGCATTGTCAAAGTGTTCATAGCTCAACATACGCTCTTTCTGATGTGTCTGTGCTTGGGGGGCTTTTGCATCTCCCATTGTGCGATCGTTATGTCTGCACACTTGTGCATGTTGAATGCCAGCTGCAGATGTTCCAGCTTTCAGAGACTTCATGTTGTTGCATTCCAACCCCCCTGCAACTACAAAGTATGTTGAGGCTGGGCTTATGCGGTCTCGTGAATTGGTTGTGCTTTTGATGCTTTGACATTGGGCTCACTGCAGAATCCATGAAGGCCGAGGACTGCATGAAGTACATTGACAAGGGTCTTTTTTACATCTATGGCTGGGACGACTCGCACAAACCAATTATTGTGAGTAATTTATTGTGAATCAATTTCCACTACCTCTGAAAATTTTTGCTGACTAGCCGTCAAAGGGTGAAAGTGTGTGTCACTTTACAATTCTTGCGTGGGAAAGGATTGCGTAGGGCCTGGGTGTCCACACATAGCTTGTTTCCCAAAAAGCCATGTACTTACCACTGCACTGTTTTCACCTTTGTCCAGTGGAACATGCTTTGGGTCTTTGGATTGAGTGGTCGTATGTTGTTCTTAGTCAGCTTGCATGACTCTTCATTGATGATTGAAGCAGAACCGCCCATTCGTTTATCCACAGTGCTGGGTAATCCTATTGTGGAGAAAACCTTGCATATGGCAGAGAACTTCAACATTTTCATTAAGGAAACGAGAAATAATCTCCCTCAAATCGAGAGTTGTGTTGGTGTTCACATCACGTTGTGAACCTGTGCCTGTCAGGTGGCCAGGAAACGACAAGAGCCCATGAACCCTGATGAAGTGGACCCCTACTTCAAATTCATTATGTTCTCATTGGAACAGGTCCAGAAGAGCATGCCAGAGCAGGCGCATCAATGGGTGCAGCTGCTCGACCTCAATGGTACTAATTGCTTAATTGACAGTTTTGAATGTATTTCCTCCATCCAGAACAAACTGCCTTCTGTGACTTTGGCTCACAACTTCTCCATCACAGCGACTTCTGTGTCCAGTGGCATTTCATCCAAAGATGTGCCCATAAGTTCAGGACAAACAGTGGACAAACCAATGGGCGCCCATGTTTGATATTCTATGGAAGGTGGCAAAATAAATAACTTGCATTTCATGTGCTGTGCCCAGGATACAGCAAGAAGAACGCTCCCCCTGTGAAAATGGGCATCGCGGTCATCAACGCATTTGCCAATCACTTCCCTGTGAGTGGAAGATACCCTGATCCCAAGATGTAGAAATTAAGTGTCTGCTAGGGCATGGGCCTGGACTGGCATTTGTCGTCCTTCGCTCGACATTTCCATTGGTGTCGTTCTGATGTGCTGTGGTCGTCTCACAGTAATTGCTCATGAATGTTAACCAACAGCGATGGTTTAAGGTCGGTACCCAGATTTGGATTTTTGGCTTGGAGCTTCCACTCGATAGAGTTTGGAGCGACCAATTCACCAAGCTCGGGACATCAATCAAATGGCTTTGCCTGACCCAACGAGTGGCTAGCAGATAAAATTTGCAGATGCATGACCTTACCACGTTCCAGCATGTGTACACGCTCATCATGGCCCATAAGTTGCAAACGCACCGCTTTGTCTTGCCGAAGGCCGTTTAAACGAAAACCAGTACCCGATTGTGTCCTCGTCCAGCCCCTTCTACAGGGGTGGCAATATTCAGCGGCTTTGGCCGGACCCTTCACTTGTGTCCTTCGGGAGATCCGAGAGTTCGTTTCCTCTTGTGCATTAAACCGAATAGCTGTAACAATCATGCTGGACTGAAGCGCGCAATTCTAACCCGATTGGTTCGCCAGTTTTGCCAACAAACTTGCGATTGCACATCGCCACACACTGGCAGGAAATGGCATGTTTGCGATGCCAACTGCGATGCCACTTTGACACAAAGCGATGCCGCCACAGTGATTACAATGGCATAAAAGGGGCTACGATGGCATCAATTGGTGTCAAATGGCATCACAATTGGCATCGCAAACGCGCTGTTTTCTACTGGTGACAGCTTGTAGGCGTTTGTTGGCACATGTCATGCAAGCGGCACAGGTATCTGCTTCCCTGGAAACAAGCTGGTTCTGACGAGCTGTGCGTTCGAGCGCGTATGCACTGACGTCATGTGAATACCTCAGCTGTGCTGGTGCTGTTGCCACAGCATGGCCAATTGATACCCGTTGTTTTGTCGACCTCTGCTTCCAGGAGCGGCTGGCGCACTGCTACGTCATTGACGCGCCTACCATCTTTTGGGTGCTTTATACGGTGAGCACGTGGTCTGGGCGCGTTTGCGAAATCGTTGACTGTGCGCAGACGTACCCGGCTCCGCTGTGAGGGGCAACCAAGGACCGTGTCGACGTTCAAATAAGCTTCTTTCCACAGCTTGAGGGTTGCCGAAGGAAACACGCCTCTGGAGGGCCACAACTGAAATCCAAGTGTGGATTGCGTTGGCGTCGAGAACAAAAGCAGTAAATGCAGAAAAACAGAAGCCCCCCAACAAATCCGAAAAATCCAAAAAATCCAAAAGCTCCGAAAGATGCCTCCCTAGATGGTGGAGGCATCGGCGAAGTCTGGCCCGTACTGCAAACGCTGTGTGGGCGCCGCAGATTCGACACTGGCGTATCTGGGGCTTTTGTTTTGCCTGCTCTTCGTTCTCCTGCACTTTGAGTGTACTGCATCAGTGTCTTCTGCGTGGCCGTTTGCTGCAAACAGACGTGCATAGCCTTTCGAGGCTAAGGAGAAGGGCCACAAACGGTCCAAATACGTCGCAAGTGCAGATAGATGACGTCGGATAAAATGCGGCGCATGTCCCGCCTGTGACAGCCCTCTCAATACTTGCCTTGGCTACGTGGTGTGCACCCGAGTTGAATCACCAGCGTTGATTGTGAGGGCAATCACTTTGGCGCTGCCCATCAAAGCTGCTGATGGAATGAAAATTATGGGTAGGCAATCGGCGCCCTTTCTCAAAGAGGGTCAATGTTTGTGCTTCCCTCTTCCCTGGGAAAAATCACGTATCTGTGCATAAATGGTCGGCGGTGTCGGCTGCCGTGCGGTCCTGACAGGTCTCGAGCCCTGCTGACAGCAGATTGCATGGACCGTGGCCAATGGTGTGCGGCTCAAGTTGCATCGAACTCTGCAACTACGATGACTAATGAAATGTTTCTATACCCCCCCCCCTTCCTTCTTGCGCACTTGAGAATTCGTCGACGAGAGGTGCTTTGTTGTTTGTGCCCGGGGCGCAGGCGGTGTGGCCGTTTGTAGACCCAGTGACAAGAGCCAAAGTGCATTTCGTCTACACCAAGGACTACAAGGAGACGGGAGAAAGGAAGGACGGTAACGAAGACTCGACGCGATTCTCAAAGTACTACAAAGCGTGGGCCACCCAATTCGACAAGGCTAGATACATGAAAATTCTGGAGGAGCTGGGCTGAGTGCCACAGAGAGCTGGGGCGGCTGCCTCAGCTGTGTTGGAAGTCTCCGTTCCGCGTGCGAAGGCCGAAATGCAATTACGGAAACAGCAGAAGTTGGTGCTGCCTCAAGGTGATGCAAGGCGTTCGAGGCAGGCGTCCATTCGATGTCCACGGTTGGACACATTCCAAGGCAACCAGCAAGTTATTCCGAGTTGGAAAGTAGCTTTCGTGCGAGCAATCGGAATAAATTGTCTGGGCAGGCGGGCTGATCGCCAACGTCGCAGCTACGTAGCTACGCACGTGCTGAATTCCTTGAATTGCATTTGCTCACACAGCGCGAAAGGGCCCCTTGCATATTGTTGGCGATGGTGGGCATTGGTGCATCCCAAATACTGGACATGCAGGTGTAGAGACGTGCAGGTTGCTCTTGATTTGCCTCCAGGTGACTCCTTTCGATGTATGCTCCTGCGTGGAATGGAGCCTCAATTTCATTGCGAGTGAGACGCTGCTTGTATTTGCTGTTTATATCGTTCAGATGGTGTTCCAACGCTTGCTATCGCGCCATCGTCCCGTTCATCCGCGTCCAATTTTTGTTTTTGGACACGGATAGTTCTTCTGGGATATTTCTTTTGGAATATCGTGCGTCGCCTTTTCTATTATGAATCGTTTTGCCTGTAGGCACAGTCGTTACAGAGAGGGGGACCCACGATATTCCGGAAGGTGAGGAAAGGAGGAAGGAAGAGTAACCTTGCGAACAACAGCCTGTGTGAGGGACGCCCTGGGCGTGCTGTGACCTCCCAATAGCCATTTCGCAGCAACCTTTGCATTCTCGGTGCCCAAACATCAAATCAACAGGCAACCCCACAAGTGGTAATTCGGTCCCCAGCATGTTCGCCATACTGCTGTTGACTACAGCGGAAGCTTCCCTTTGTGACGGCGAGCAAGCCTTGTGCTGACATCCACAAAAACCCAACAGCAGCACCGCCGTTTTGTCGTCATTTTCCAATCAGGTAGCCCATCAAATGGTGCTATGAACCAGGTTGTTATTACGCTGACGTTTACGTTCACGTCTACACAAATGTAAATGTGCAAAAGGGGCTGTTTTACGGTTGTATTGACGTTTTTACGCCTCGTTGTGACACCGAGGTTACACAATGAAAGCCGTGCACAATGATCATTCCTCCGTCCCCTCGAACATCCGCAACACAGTGTCCACCTCGCCCTCGGCAAGGGCAACGATGGCATGGAAAACAAGCTCATTTTCTGTCCATTCCAGAGCGTCTGGCTGCCACTCCCCGTACTTGTTAGCCTGCATGTAGTGTCCTTATGTACACGGAGCTGTATTTTCGTTGTATTTACGTACTTTTGTGCGTTTTTGCGCGTTAAAATGCAAAACTATTTCCACGCGTAAAAGTGTAAAAACTATTTTTAGGCGTAAAAACGTAAATACGATATGTGCTTATGGCGTAAATAGCAAGCCTGCTATGAATAGAACTCGCACGAGGCCAATGATCCAGCCTTCTAGCAGCTTGAACCGCTGCACAAACCGTGGGCGTTTGTTCTCTCAAAACGATAGGCAACTCATTGACAGGTGGTTTTGTTCCAACTTGCCGGCTTCCCTTATTGCCGACGTCAGGCGTCGTTCAGGCAGCCCACCATGTGTTATCAGGAGTGCAACAAAATTATCGAAAACAACCCTTCAGCCCACTGCCCACTGCACGACGCTGGGGTATGATGGCTACAGCCACAGGTGGGAGTGGAGGCCCTGAACTTAGCCAGCAATTAGGCCTGCAGGACCGGCTTCGAAAACAAGCTGGTCCGGAACGTCCGGAACGGCAAAGTGCAAGGAAGGACGCTGTGTGCAGCGCTGCACCTTGTGCATTATTCCGGTGGACCATCAAACAGTGCTGCTTGGGCTGGGTTTCCGGTAGCAATAATGCCCACATTTCTAACCAAGTAAAAAGTGGTCGCGGGCCCATCCCAGGTCCTGGCCCCCAGCGGGCACCAGCGGCCCGATGAACTGGCCACGCGTATTCCGAGCGACCTTGAAGGGCTGGCCTCTGGGTGAGAGAGGCCACGGGGAGCTTCCCGTGCGTTTGGCATTCCATCCCTCAGACTCCAGGAGTTTTCTAGGATCCCACGCTGATGTGAGCACGACGCGTCGCTCGTCAGGATGCGGACGTCTTCCCCGCAACAATTGTTCTGAGCTGTTCTCTGGCAATCTTGACATCCAGCTTAGTGGCCATTGGCCGTCGATGCCTACCTGCGAAGTGAAACTCTAGCAAGTTACCTGGATTTCTACACCATGAGACCAATTATTGCTGCTATTTGAGCGGGGCAACGGCGGGGACAGTGTGCGGCAACACAAGTGGAGGGCGGACAGTGAAAACAGGCGCAATCCGGCCTGCACATCGCGGGTGGAGAGCAGTCGCCGGACAAGCAGAACTTGTATGAGGAGCGGCTCATGAAGCGCCCGAAGCCTGAAATGCCCTTTCTGCAGACACCTTCCCGGAGAACAAGTGCAGGCGCAACGGCGGCGTTTTGGCCAAAGGAAACGCGCGATCAGGACTGAATTGAACTGCGCAGAATACGACGGCCAACGCTTTGTCCCAATGGAATCGGAGACTTGCACCGTCCATTGTGGGTATTGAGTCTCGAACACCCCGTCCAGGACGGATGCCCACGGGAACTTGCCTTTCTCTTCATGACAACAACGTCTAGTCGAAGAAGTGCAAACAGAGTTGAAACTTGCCATTCCCTGTGAAATGATCCGGTGTTGTAGATTTAGCATTTGGTTTATGGGCCCGTGGCATATTCGTGTCTGTTGTTGACAGACATGGTTGTATCATGGCAGGGCTCACAGTGCAGAGGCAGCCCTTCAGAAACTTGTGCACCACTGCCTCGCTTGGCGAGCCAGCCACCTTTGGCCTACGCAGCAGACTACAGCAATGAAGCACCTCTGAATATTGCAAGGACCAGGTGTGTGTTCTCTGTTATCTACACGTCAGAATATTCATGGTTAGTATGTTCTGCAGTGCGGGTCTAGGCAAGTTATGATGCAAACGTGGCATCAACTGCCTGTGCAACTTTTGATGTTGCCATGAGCTGCTGATGGCAATGCAAGCCTGCAGGATTTGTTGGCAGTGCCTCGACTACATGGATGGCACCTGCAAACACCACCAAGTGCCGTCCCCGTGTGGCGTGGTGGCATTGGCACACAAGTCCCTCGATACAGCTGATGTTTGCAATTCTTTTGGAAGCTTGATAAAAAAATTGACAAAAGCTCTGGCCTTGGACGTTCCCAGGAGTTGACAGGCATATGTCCAATCACAAATGTCCCAACACAATCTCTACAAAGCACAACTCTAAACGAAGTATATGCAATGGAACTGAGATAAGACATACTACAATTTGGAATCCATATTAACAAAAATCCGAAATAATTTCCATTTGCAACTGCTAACTTTGGTGGTGCTACTTGCTTGTGTCATCCAGGATCCTCCTGGTGGATGCCTTGGATCCATTGTATCGTGTGCACTATGGCTACAACGACCGTCTCCACAACCAGGCTGGTGAAGAGACGACGCTCATCCATGGATTTCTTGCCCAATTTTTTGGGCTCATGGACTTGCGACCCCCGCCAACCCACTGTGCTGTTGTTTTCGACTTTGGTGGCAAGACCTTCAGGTGGTGCCGACAGGCAATGGCCTTGCCTGTAGATTGCAGCAACAATGTTTCGATGAATTGGCACTGTGCTGAAACTGACTGTGGATAGATGGGAACCTCGCCAACAAAATGACAACACGCTGGTCATATCATATGTCCCTGCTGAACCGTGATGCTGAAATAGTTTCCTATCCTACAGACATGTAGCAACCCCATAGAAATGTTTCTTTTTTCTTACACAGCAACTGTCAAGTTTGCTGTCACATTGTTGCTGAAAGTTTGGGAATTCGTAAGATTGGTGGAAAACAGACGCCAAGATGGGCAGGAGGGCATTGATGACGTGGCAAACGTTCGGTAGAGCTGAGGGTACCCGTGTGCAATGAGCCAGTCAAAAGGAATGCCACCATGAGCTGCACAGTCGCTGCTCTCATTGGGATGCCACATTTCCCCTTTTCTTGCATGTCACTCACTTGCACAGTCAGTGGGTTTTGTGCCAATTATTGTGAGGTCATTGTGGGCCAGTAGCGGAGGGACTCTGTGTGACTATCTGAGCTCAGCAGAAACACGTGACATGACCAGTGTCGATTTCCATGTTGCCTGTACAGATTTCATTCACTCATTTGCACAGTAAATGTTTTTGGGCCTTGTCTGATCCGCTTTCGATAGATATCATCGTGTTTGATAACCCTGGGACGCCACTGCAAGCTGCAAGTTGTGGTTGCTGTATGAGTGACACCTCCCACAATGTAGTTGCCCAGTTGGAAGGTGCCCATTTTGTGGCGTGCCTAACTTCTGCTAAAAAGACACTGCAGCCGTGGTTAGCAATGGCTGCCATTATCCATGCTTTGAATATGGCTCGGATTGCCCCACTTTCCCAGGCATGAGCTTGTGACCAGCATCCACCCAGTTGCTGCCTTCATGCGCACTGTCTTGGCCATGCAGAGATGAAATTTTCCCCGCATACAAACAGAATCGACCAGAGACGCCCATGGAGATAGTTGAGGCAGTGCCCAAGTTGAAGGACCTCCTGTCCCGAATGGGGGTAAGGTGGGTGTAATCCAGTTGAATAACATCTATAATCAATCGTCGAAGTGTAACAAAGCACAGCCTTGTACCCTTCAAGGTGGTGTCAAATATGAATCCATCCACGTGCTGCTCCTGATGCTGTCGCCATGGTGTGTGTCTCTGTACCACAGTCAAAAATTAGATCCAATTGTGAACTGCTCAGTTCCATTTTCTTGCCAACTTGTCAGGTGGGTATCTGTGCCTGGGGTGGAGGCAGATGACGTCATCGGCACTCTTGCAGTGAAGGCCTCGGAGGCGGGTATGGAGGTGTACATTGTGTCACGCGACAAGGTAGGGGTGGATTATGGCCTTACCGTGCAGCATGCTGCTTTGAAGCAGAATGAGGTCATTTGATTAATTTGCCCTTGACAGTGAGCTCACACTTGGCAACAGACTCTTGCAAGAACATTGTGTGGTAGAGGTGTTTTTGAGGGCCTTATCTGTTGTCAACTGTTGTGTTGCATGCAGAATGTCCAGATTGATTGACTGCATGAGTGAATGGCAGGTTCTTAGGTTGGCTGATATGTTGTTGCGCCCATGCACTGAACATCGTGAAGGTTGAACTGGTGCAATGACATAGGATTTCTTCCAGCTCCTGAGTCCAAGCATTCGCGTCCTCCGTGGCCCAATGAAGGATGGGATGCAGCTGTACACGGAATCCAGGTTTCGAGAGGAAAATGGGGTAGAGCCTTCCCAGTGGGTTGAAGTGCTGGGGCTGATGGGAGACCTGTCAGACAACATTCCTGGTGTGAAGAATGTTGGTCTAAAAACCGCTCGCCTACTCATCAAAGAGTATGGGAGCATTGAAGAAGTGCTTTCCAATGCACACGAGGTGATGAAGCTCATTAATGCCCATTCTGCATCTTCGTACCTGTTCCATGTATCAGCCTGTTGATATTCGAAATAGTGCTCTGTTGGTTTCTGTTCCAAAGCATTGCTACAATCTCAACAATTCAAGGAGAGTCCTCCAAGTTGTCCCCTCCAGGCCCTCCTGCCAGCTGTGCCACATGATGGAAGGCGGGGTTTGCTCAACGTTGTGGAGTTGAACCTTGCGACTGTGTATCCCAACGTGTGAGTGCTGGTCGCTATGTCAACGAATGACGTGGTGGCTGAAATCTGCCAGCGTGGTCTCTGAAAGGGGAACTGCAGTTTCAGTAGAACGCCGCCCTCTGCCTTCAAAACCAAGTATTGCAACACAAGAAAGAGCAAAGCACTCCCAAAGCTATGCTGTGGGGTCTTCGATTCCAAAATATCACATCACATTGAAGGTGCCCTCCCCGTGCCAACGAAAGAGATGCAGAATCGTGCCGCCTCACCAAAAAAACGCAATGCGACGTGAAGCCGCTGAAGGTTTTACATCTATATAAGTGCATAGTCTCGAGAATAGAGGTTTGTGCCTCCAAGGGGGCCTGGACAGATCAGAGATCGTGGTAGTTTGCAGTGCTATTTGGCTGTAATCCGAGTTGAGAGAATTTCACACCATGGTGGGATTGAGCATATCGTAGCTTTTGAGTGGCGAGCCCATGCAACGCATGCATGAATGTGTCCATCATACGCAGTTTGCCAAGCGACACAGTGGTGATGGCACCTGTCTGTACTGAACTCGGATCATAAGATGGCCGCAGATTCTTTGTGTTCTACAAGGACCTCACAGTACTTGGCAAAGAACCCATCCCACCCCTGCACCTCCAACACCCCTTGCAATAGCCCAAACTCCCCACTTACCCGCCACCCACCCACACACACACACGCACCACAACCCCAGCAACCCTGTCTTAAGAGCACCCAAGGAAATGGGAAGTGGCTGTAATGTCGTGGCAAATGCAGCTAACTGATTGCCACGCGGTTAACTACAAGCATCGATGCTTTCGTTGAGCAGATGAAACTCGCTGGCCTGTGTTTTTCATTGGCGCGCAGAGACGGCGTGGGCTCAAATTGATTATTAACGCCATCCCATGCTGACTCAGCAAAACGGTAAGTATACTACACTAAATGGTAATACATTAAATGGCAACCTGTAGAATGTACATTGTGGATTGTGCGTCCTTCTTTTCGAGAATCTGGTGCAGAAGCTTTGGATTTGTCACATGCGCCAACCTTGATTGCAGGATTTTCATAATTCGTAAGAAAGTTGGCCTATTTGTAAAGGCAAGAATATAGCTGCCTGCTCCCAATTTCGTCAAAGAATTATGCAATGGTGGCATTGCTACAGCAGGAAATTTACACAAGTATGAGAGGAGGTAGCTGCTGTTTATGTGGGCCTTCATGCGTGCAATGCTGGACTGACACCCTAGGCATTCAGTTGATGTTGTAGGTCAAGCGGAGGTCGGCTCGTGAGCAGCTGGAGAGCGAGGCCGGCCAGAACGCCGCAAGGCTTTCCAAGGAATTGGTGACCATTCACACTCGCCTGGATATGCCGCCATTAAGGTGCCTCACACGCGACTCTTTAGTTGCACCCTTTCAGGCTATATGCGCGCTTTTATCCTACGTTCTGGTTTCAGTCAACTGAACATGAGTTGTCCCCCTGGCGCCCGGGTGGTTGTGTTGTGTGGCAAGGTCATGAAGCAGTCGTTCGCGGATGAAGACCAATTGAACTATCGCGATAAGGGTCCTATGCTGGCCATGTCCCAGCCATGCGTCGGGTGTGGAAGATGGCCTGGCGTAGCACATGTGTGATTAGGGCATTGCCGACGCATACTGTTTTGTCCAAAGGGCCAGAACCGTCACTGACCGTGTTGAAGCGCATTGGCGTCCTTGAAATTGCGTGACTGCTTGTTCTGTCGACATTCGCGAGCGACAGAGAGCCAAGGGGGTGCACCTTATATAGTCGAATTGCCTCTGCGATTGTGCCCTACGGCCACCCGCAATAACAGGATCTATCACGCCGTAAAGTGGCGGAAACCTTTGCCGTATTCTTTGGTCCAGCCGTTGGTTTGCATGGCCGGTGGGTATTGCGTCATAGTGCCCCCGCCATGGGAATGCTATTGATCAACGGCGGCGGCCAGATGACAGCGCCGTGATGCGTGTCCCGTGTTGTGATGGGCTGGAGCGTTGCGATACCGTTATGCCACCTGGCACACGTCATGCGGTTTTATTTCGTTCCCTTCCTTTTGATTTCTGGCTATTCTGCTGTGCCAGGTACCCCATCCATGACTACAGCTTAAAGACGCCGCCCGACGGCGGCCAGAGCGCCATTGAGGCTTTCGAGTCGCTGGAGCTGAAGACGCAGATGGGCAGCCTGCGAAAGTGCTTGTCGAACTGGTCGCGGCGGAGATAGGAGGGCCGCATTTGGGATTGCTACAGCCCGTTAATTGGTAGCATTCCCTTGGCGGGGGCATTATGGCGCAATATCCAGCGGCCACGCAAACCAACGGCTGGACCAAAGAATACAGCAAAGGTCTCCGCCACATTGCGGCATGGTGGATCCCTTTATTGCGGATGCCTCAAGAGACGATGTTGTTGAATCATCTCACGTGCAGATTCTCCACATCTCCATTGCCGTAAACGCCAGAGGCAAATAGATCCACGGCGGAAGTGTAGGATACGTGCCGATGCATGGTGAATCTTCGGCCCTTACAAGCCAGAGCACGCGCTGTGTGCGTGCACGCGTTGCAAGTCTATTGAGACACAGGATGGAAGCATGGCTGGCGTCGAATTTTCTGCTAAATTTGCTAATATAATTTACTATCCTGTTAATGAGTTTCTGCCAAGGACGACGTTGGGTGGGCGTGCGCCGGCCAGTCGGGGCCGGGCGGCCTTTCTGACCCATTTCAGGGTCATCGAATACCGGTTTCTGTCACCCCTGTACCCGAGGTCAGCTCTGAGCGCCGGGTGCAAGGGACAACCGGGTGATCCTTGTAACCCTTTATCTTGTTTCGCACCCACTCGGCCCACCCTCACAGAGTGAGTTTCGGTTAGTTGTGGGATGGAGAGGGAGTTGAGTACGAAAACAGGGGAGCTGTCTCAGGGTTAAGTCACCATCAGCGTGGCATGAAGTACTATGCGAAGCAAGGGGCACATTTCGAGTGGGTCTCCAACTAGGTCTTGTATTGGTGAGGTGATGGACAGCAATACAGCTCTGAGTGCAATGTCTTGTCGTGTCGGGGACAAGGGGTGGTTGAAGCAGATCGGTAGGGCAGAGAATTTAAGCTCATATGCAAAGATGTTTAGCAAGTTGAGCAGCTTGCTGAAGGTGGGGGGCAGCGAAGCTGACGCGCTTCGATTTGAGGAAACTGTGCGGTTGTAGGCGTTGAAGTCGCTGTCCCAAGGGGTGTCTTTCCTCAGAGAGCCTTGCAGTTACGGAACGTTCACAGTTTCATTGTGGATGATTCGGCATTTCCTAACAGCGAGTGCTGTTCTTCAGCTGTTGTGTTTATCTTCAACTCATGGCAACTGCGTCGATTGTGGTCCTACAGGCGCGGCTCCCTCGTTCAAATCTGCAGCAAGATCGCCAGTGGATTGCCAAGAACCAAAATTGGGAGCAACGATTCGCTGGACTCGCCCAAGCTTTAAAGCATGAAGGGCATGAAGTCGCATCCCCTTCGTTCAGTAGATAGGCCATGCCCTCTGTGCACGCTTCTCTTCAGAGCGTTTCACGCCCCATCTGCGAACCCTACTGTTGCCGGCTGTTCGCCAAAGGTGCAGCTGCTTGAAGGGAGCAAGATGATGCAAAATTCGTAGCAATGGCAACGTCATGTTAGCGCTCGAGTGCTACAGCACAAGGCACTCTTCCCAAAAGCGCAATGTCAACCCATGGACGCATCCTGACTCCTTGAAAAATGCAATCCGTTCATTCACTTAACCCACACAGGCAAATTCAGCTCACAGACGCAATTGCCCTGTTCGGCAAAAAGCAATGCAATGCATGCGTTCACCCAAGCTCCCAGACGGGGCGCCTCCCTCGACGGCCTCAAGCTCGGTCGCCAATCACCGTTTGTGCAGGGCCGGCATCGATCTCAAACGGTGAGCGGCATTTTGACGACGTCTGGCGCTGCAGAATTTTGGCCATGTGCGCTGGCCGGGGGGTTGACGGCTCCTTGGCCTGCAGCCACGCGGAGCCGTCCACCAGGCCGCTGTCGCTGCCGCCCGACTGGGAGTTTCTGCTGCTGCCGGCCTCGGCTGGCCGCTCCCCGCCGTCTTCAAATTGTGTGGTCGTCGACCTCCGAGCGGATCCCCTCGAGCTGGTGGTTGGCGGCGGGGGGGTGTCCTCTCGGTAGAAGAAAGGGAAGGACACGGAGCGGTGGATGTGCCTGTGAAGGAACGCAGCAGCCAAGTCGCTATGAATAGAAGACATACATAATATATGGTATGTGACGCGTTGTAAGAAGTAAACAATCGGCCAAAATACACGATTTCGAGCCGTGCAAAAGTATTGTAATACCGCGTCAAAACGTGTCCAAATCAGGTACAGTCGCTCAATCATTACTACACAGTTTGGTCGCATTCTTCACATGTTAAATAAACAATTTTTAAACGATTGCGAATCACGTTACACGATGCACGGTTTTCAAAACGTATATTTTGGCCTGTTTTCACTGATGCGGAGTGATGTTGCCCAACAGTGATAAAGTTGTGTGCACAAGCCTGAAAGCGTGACTTAGGGGAAACCGGGTGCCTGTTAGAACAGACACCTGCAGTTTCTAAACCGCGTTTTGCCACCGGCACGAGGAGTCAAGGCCTCGCATTGGCAGCCCTCGGAAGTCCTGATGCGTCAAAATGGCTGCAAGATCAGATAACATCATTTGAAATGTTCTATGTATTGCATGGCGTGATAGCAATACTCGGCTTCTTGGTTGGCGCGATTGCTTGTGCTCAAAGGGGAATCAAGTAGCTGCATGGCAGTGGACCAATGCGCAGCAATGGCGGGAAGAGCCGTCCCAGTTTCGATTCAGGGTTGCATGACATGCATCACATTGTGCCCGCAACGAGGGCGAACACTCTAGCACCATGCGCGACGAAATCCAGTTTGCAGCCCGGCGTCCTTCGTGAATCTCTGGACTGAAACAAAATCATGGGCTCCCACCCACATCCAGGAGTCTCAAAACAGACCTTGGCAGCCCAAGCCTCTCCCGAATTCACCGCACGCGCCCACGATCCTTTTCAGGCAAGCGTCTCATACCCCCATATACCGTGTATGCAAGCCCGTACATGCAAGATACGTACCTTGCACCAGCGCGCTTCGGAAAGCTCGGCGCCAGCAGCAGCGTCCCCCGGACGGCCTCCCTCAGGCCCAATGCCTCCCCCGCCCTCCCACCCCCCTCCCCGCACCTCCTTATCAGCAACCCGGACGCCGACTCCGTCAGGGACGCCAGCCTGGGCGACAGGCCCAGCGGCGTCCGCCTGCCCTGGGCCTCGGGGCCCGCCCTTTCCGCCTCCGAGCTTTGTCTACCGCTGGAGGGCTGTTCTCTTGCCGAAGCTGGAAGGGATTGTGCCCTCCTCGCAAGGAGAGGGGCGTCCACAGGAAGTCGGGCAGCGGGGGTGCCGCTGAGGACCTCGCACTTTCGGACGCCGGGGGGGCCCACGGGCGGCCGGCCGGGGTGCGTGTCCAGGAAGGCGAAGTCCTCCCACCTGTACGAGCAGCCCTGCAGGTGGCGGGAGCGGCGGATGGCCTTTTCTCAGGGTGGGCGACGGACTTGAAAACGTGGTGAGAGTGGCCCGATCTACGTATATCAAGCGTATTTTCTGTGGAGTTCCCATTTCTGCAGCAGGGAGGACATCTTTGGCGCGAAGCTATTTTCAAGGACATCTGTTGCGCTCGACAAACAGCGGGCTGCTTGCCCGATCTCTCTTGCCTGTGCGCCGGCCGATTTTCGACTTTCCGCGCGGCCGTGCCTTCGCATCTCATCGTATTTTTGATCAGACATTGTCATGAGCCACTCGATGTGAATATGTTTTGTGAGTGTATCACTGGCAGAAATCGGTCAGTCACCTTGCACCGCGCACGTGCACACGTGTCGGCGCCCTGCCCCGCCACGTCAGCCCCGGCGCCGGGGTGGCCGTGGGATGGTCCCCACGAGGCGCTCTTCAGCGGCAGCCTGCGGGGGTCCGGCTTCCACCTGCACGGTTCTGGCGGCTGGCCTATGGGAGATATGTGGAGAGGCAGCATGTCAGAAATGGCGGCCTCTCCAGCACGGGGGTTGAGGGGCGCAGCCGCAGGTTCTCCCCTGCAACTTGCGTCGTCGATTTTGTAATTGCTGGAGCCCAACGAGACGGTGCGGCGGACGCGGCGAAGTCGATTGGAAGATCCAGCCGCCTTCGTCGCCGCGCCGTCGTCGGAGGGCCTGGTGGCGTCCCTGTGCGCGGCAACCCGGATTGCGTCGTCAGGCAAAGGAGCGCTGACACTTGCGAATGCATTGCGCGGTTCTTTTGCATTTGCGACGCTTCGAGGTCGCTTTGCCGCAAGCCAAATGCATTCTTTTGCCCCAATTCTTTGGCGAAGACGCCCCTCCCATGCTGGGGCTCTCCGCAGACCTGCTTGAATGACGGCTACTCGCACGCGGATGATCCATCGTCATTGTGGCAATGGCATTAGCCATCTGCTTCGAATCATCTTCGCAAAAATCGCGAGCCTCCCTGAAGTCCATGCCGCGTACCTGGACGCGAGTTCCAATCGGATCGCGCCCCCCGTCAGCACTCTGGTCAATCCCCTCTTCTGCTTCACGCTGCACTCGATCTTCCCCCTGATGCTGGAAGGCCCTATTTCCGCTGCCCTTTCGGTGCTTTCTGCCCTCGACATCGAGCTCGCGGTGATGCTGTCTGCGCCGTCGCTCCTTCTACTGTGATGCTGGCGATCAGACGTGGGCAGAACCGTAGGCACGCCATCCCTGTCGAGTTGCATTGACCCCCCATTCCCTAGCCCCGTCTTGACCACTGCCCCGTTCGACCCCAAATGCACAACACCGTGGCCTCCGTCTGACGAGGGGTGTTGCGCAAACCTGGGCGTCGCAATTGAGGACATTTTGCTCTTCTCGGCTTCATTCTCTCCCTCGCTGGATGCCAAGTCCCAGGACTGCCCGTCGTCCACGGAGGCGCAGCCATCCGATCCATCATTGGCGTCTGCCGGCGAGGCGCCGAGCGGCCTTTCCTCACCCACGCTCTCAGGGCATTCTTGCACAGTGGGCAGCGCGGAGCCCTCGAGAACTCTGGTCGTCGCCCCCTGGATCAGAATTCGCTCCACACCACCAGTCACAGGGCCAGGCCCAGTGAGGGCGCCACTCACCGGGCATTTACTGCATGAAGTGGATGGAAATGTTTCAGTCGCAGGCCTGGTTGTCGCGT